CTCGCTCCTCCCGTGTCCCGGGCGCGCAGCTCCCGTCCCTGCCTCGCTGCTTCCGGCGGAAGGAGGGCGGGGGCTTCCGGTTCCGGTCCCTGCTGCTGGGGCTGCTTCCAAGATGGCGACGTCTCTGGGCTCCAACACTTACAACCGGCAGAACTGGGAGGACGCGGTACGGCCCGGGCTTCGGGGCCGGGGTCCCTGGGGCGGTGAGAAGCCTCCCCCGGGTGGTTTCACCCTCCTCGTGCGGCAGGGCCCAGCCTAGGGAGCCGGGAGCTGCTCGCGCTGCCACGGGGCTGAGGCGCCGGGGGGGGTCTGGGGCAGGCCCTGAGGGGGCGGGGGGAGGGGCTCTGCCCCCAGGGCCCTTTTCCCGCCAGGTGCTGGGCCCGTGTCTTGGGTCGCTCGGGGGCTGCTGGCGTCTGACGCGGGAGCGGATCGCGTGGTTGGAAGAGGGTTGGTTTGTCCCGTGAAATAACTGGCAGCCGGAGTCTCCTCACAAGGCTTCATCTAGCAGCAGGTGGGGACATTGGGGGGGGCGCTTTGTCCCCCACTCTGAGGAGTCAGAGCCAAGGTGCCCTCTAAGGTTTCCACCCATGTGCAGAATAAATGTCGTTACGTGCACCAAGGCACGGGCAGAGGTGCACCGCCGGTAAAAAGACATGCTGCCAACTGTGGGAGGCGGCTGGTGGTGGGCTAATCAGCTGTGGGGCCGCCCAAGGGCTCAGCTTACAGCAGTGTTTCCCAAATGGTGTTCCCTGGAACCCTGGGGTTCCGTGAAGTGGAAATAAGGGTTCCGCGAGAAAATTCCATTACAATAACATTTTGACTTTAAAAAATAATTACTATTTAAGCATTTATGAATTGTGTTGAAAACAACTTTCATTTGTGTTGATCTCATGACCTTGTTTAGCTTTTGTTTATTATTATCCTTACTTACTTGTGGTCTACTTTTTCAGCTCCATATATTATTATTAGGGGTTCCACACATTTTTTTTTAGAGTTTAAAAGGGTTCCGTGGCCAAATAAAACTAGGAAACACTGGCTTACAGGGAACACTGGTCAGAGCTTTGAATGAGTAGGGTCTAGTCCTTTGTTCTGAGAGAAGCAGACGGCAAAGGGGTTGTTGTTGGTTAGGGATGTAATCTGAAGTGAGCTAGTGAGTTTGTTCTGACTGGTTTTTTTTTTCTTCCGGGATGCAGGACTTCCCTATTCTGTGTCAGACATGCCTTGGAGAAAATCCATATATCCGAATGGTATGTGACTGTTTCACGTCATTGTCCTTTAACATGTATGATGAGACTAGCACTGGTTTAGGCAATGAAAAAATTAGTTCAGTCAAATGAGGCAAGTGGAAGATGCCAAAATTCATTCAGGCTTCTATGTGCTGCTTCTTAACAGTAGAACATGCGCTTATGGGGAAGGAGGTCTAGATTTTGGGGTTGACCAAGGGCATTGACAACATGATCAAAATAAATCAAATAATAAAAAATTTGAGCTGATATCAAGATAGCTTGTCCAATGGTTAAAAGTATAAAAGATCCATATCACAAATGTGTCTTCCATCACAACTTTGATACTAACGCTCTTCTTCTCTTAGCTAAACTGAGGCACTGAAAGATTAAACGACTTTCCCAGTTTTTAAAATGTGCTTTGAAAAGGGCTTTGATATTATTTCAGGAAGGTTGCTTGAATGCCCTTTAAATCTTTGTTTTTACCGCAATATATAGTTTTCAGTGCCGGACTGTGTATCTGTCACCCAACCATTTTGTTTTACCCTTCCCAGCACCAACTAGAATCATGTAGCATATTTTCATTCTAAACATCCACATTTTTTCTCTCCTCTCCCTAAGTTTGCTTTAGTCTCTGTCGAATGCTAATAGGCTATATTAATTTTTAATGCAAATACACTCTATGTTGCGAAGTTGGATAGAGGATTTATTTTTGTGTTATGGCTCTCTGGACATTTTGTCATTTAAAAAACAGACGTTAAAAAGTTGAAGCTGAGGGTTTCTTTGAAAGATAATCTACTGAATATTCTGCCATCATACAAATTGAAAGGGTTTGGCTCCAAGTTCCCTATTAAGCCTATTAAGTACTGTGCAGGTGCTCAGGGCTACAGTGGACAGAGATACCTCTTCCCCCAGTCCTGAACCTGCTGCAGCTGGGGAAGAGGCGCCTCAGCCTAGGCCTCCCACCACTGGGGGAGAGGTGTCATGACTGGGAGAGGGAGCTGAGGGATGCCCGAGGCAACCTGTATTCCTTATCCCTGGTCCCATCCCAGACCCTGCACCTCAAATTGAGGCCTTCAGCCCCATGCCCCTCCACACCTGAATCCTTTACCCCAGCATTTAGCCCTTCATCTCCGGCCGTATACCAGATTTCACAACCCCAGCTGGAGTCCTCACCCCACCTATGCCTCAACCATCTGCCCCAGCCCTGAGCCCCCTCTCACACTGCCAACTCCTCGGCCTCACACCTGCTGCATATGTGGCAAAAATTAAAGGAAACTCTGGTTAAAAGTGATTTTTCTCCCATTTACCTTCCAAAGGCTTTCCATATTAAGTGAAAGCCATGGGGCAGATATCTCCAAATGCAACCAGCACAAAGAGAAAACATGCAGTAGCCGTGGTGGTACAGCATGTGGATAGTTGGGTAGAAGAGATGTAATGTGGGAGATCATTGTTTTGATTAATATCTCGTGGGAGTTTTTTATAGTAACTCTCATTTGATTTTATTCCAGACCAAGGAGAAATATGGAAAAGAATGCAAGGTATGTTTGTCTTCATTGGAAGAAATGAGCTTGTCCAGAAGTCATAAGTTTCCATTGTGGATTAAGATATAATGCTGAAAATATCAACTAACAGTCTAAACTCTTGAGCATGTGATGCCATGATGCCTTCAAAAACTTGACAACAGTTAAGCTTCTGGTGTGCTCAGTGCCTATCGCGCTGACCAATATTGTTGCATTGTTTCCTTATATATCCTCCCATCTCCCTGTATTCATCTGTAGCCTCTTGTCTTACAGTTAGGGCATGTCTACTCTAGTGAAAAGATCGACCCTCTGCTCTTCTAGCATTTGATTTAGCAGGTCTAATGTAGATTCCTAAGTCCAACGCTGAGGGAAGCTGATAGGAGCGTTTGCATTTTGCGTAGCTGGAGTTGCATGCCTTAAACCAACCTGTCTGGTCTAGTATAGACCAGGCCTTAGATTGCAGCTCCTTGGGGGCAGGGACTGTCTTTGTTGTTGTTTCTCTGCAGCCCTTAGCACAATGGAGTCCTGGTCTGTGACTAAGGCTGGTAGGCTCTATAGTAATACAAATAATAAATAACTCGACTCATGTGATTTATCCATGAAAGTAAGTGGTGCCTTGTGAGTGAACGTGCATCTTTTCAGCACTGGTCCTTTAATTGTTAAATCTGAAAAAAATGTTTAGGTTTATTTCACTATTTAGTCTGGTTATTCACTTTAAAAAATCAGTTTGTGCATGTTCACTTCTAGTAACTTTCATTCAGTGTGTAACGAGAACAGCGGTCTGAGGTTTCAGAGTTCACAAGAAAATAATTTTTTAATTAAACATAATTAATATCTAATGAAACAGTTGTTAGAGCACTGACTTTATAAAGTCACCTTCTGTTTATACAAAACCTAAGTTTGGGTTTTAATTTTACCTATGTTCTTTTTGTAATATATATTGGCATCGTCTAGTAAGCTAGTTATCCAAGCTCCTTCCCTCTCGCCAAATGGGCCAGGCCCCGTGCTGTCCTAGGATGTGTATATCCTGGAAATTACTTGAGCAATGTAGAAATTCTCTTTGCCTTATGCTCTAAGAAAGTTTCTTGAGTATTCAAATCATTGCAAGAAAGTCCAGCCAAAACCACCTTCTCCTGTCAAAATGAGGCAACCTATTGCATTTTTTGAGCATCACCTCCAACAGCTTGCCGAGGGTTGAGGGCTGCTCTAGCCCCACGTGGTCTGGGAGTTTGCAGCCTCACAGGGTGTGGGGGGTGGAAGTGGCAGTGGGTGGGAGAGAGCTGCTGGTTGCTACTTGGTGCAAGTCAGCTGACTTTCTTCCTGCCCCCCTCCCACTGCTTCCACCCAGCATGAGACTGCCGACTTCCAGCCTGCAAGGGTTGGGAGCCAGCAGCCCTTTCTTCATTTTCTCTCCCCATGGGATTAGAGTGGCTGGGCTGGAGCAGCCCCTGCCTTGGGCATTTAATCAGTTATGCTTAACATTTAACCAATTAACTCATTAAATGGTATTTTACATTGCTAGCCTCTAGTTATAGTTGAGTTTCCATGAAAATTTGAATGCTAGTGGCATTGCTGGCTGCAGTTAGTGGTACAAGTCACTGCTGTCTTTGTCTCAGATTTGTGCCAGGCCCTTCACAGTGTTTCGCTGGTGCCCAGGTGTTCGAATGCGCTTTAAGAAGACAGAAGTATGCCAGACATGCAGCAAGCTGAAGAATGTATGTCAGACCTGCCTGCTTGACCTTGAATATGGTGTGTAACCAGAGTCCATTTACCAACAACTGAAAGTACAGATTGAGACAACTCTGCTTGTCTCCTGACACTGCATAACATTAATTTGGCTCTAAATAAACATATATCTCCATGCAGGGCAGGGAGATACATATTTATTTAGTGATGTTTGGTTCATCTTCTCTCTCATACAATCTGACTACGATCTCTTCTGTGATATTCCAGAAGGCATATCTACATGCTGAATGGTGTTCTCATCTGTGCACAAACTTTCAACTCACTAAAGACTAAATTATGTCTAATAATTCTATCCATTCTAAAATCTTCCTGTACACACTAGTGCTGTGCTGTATTTGCCTGTGTTCATAAGAATGAGTTGCTATCAGTTTCCAAATGTGTTTAGACTTTGATACCAGCTGGACCTTACTTTAACTGTAGAGAGGGTTAGAATTTTGATGTTGCCCACTTCTGTTGCTAGCAAGACTAAAAATAGTTCCATTCGTGATGCTAGATGTATCAGGAACTATATTTGTGATTAACTGAATCTCTCTAATCAAATACGTTTCAATAGAATATGCAGAGGCTTTTAAAAAATGACCATGAAATTAGATGAACTTTCAGTCTCACTCAGTTCACCTTCATGGCAGGTAAAGTAATACTATCCAGAGGATATTAATTAATGCATTGTAAAACAATCAGCACAGATATGACTGCTCTTAAGGCCTTCTTTCTCCAAATACAACTTTAGTGTATGTTTATAACAACCTTTTTTGTCCTTCTTTTGGTTAATATTTTTTTAATTTAATTTTAGGTTTACCTATTCAGGTTCGAGATGCAGGACTCTCTTTTAAGGACGACATGCCTAAATCTGATGTCAATAAAGAGTATTATACCCAGAACATGGAGAGAGAAGTAAGGAATGCATTTGTAACAGAAATCTGTTGTTGGTTTATTTTACTTGGGCTATAGCTGAAATGAACTAGATAATCTTGAAAAATTCCTGGTTGGTCTGATTATGTGCATCAGTTTTCTGCCTCAAGCAATGAAATATGCACTCTTTGTCTACTGCTTAGATTTCGAACTCAGATGGCACAAGAGCAGTTGGTGCTCTAGGGAAAGCTACGTCTACCAGTGACATGTTGCTTAAACTGGCTCGAACCACACCTTATTATAAACGCAACCGACCCCACATCTGTTCCTTTTGGGTGAAAGGGGAATGCAAGAGAGGAGAAGAGTGTCCGTACAGGTATTGTTTTGTTTTGAAAAGCTAACTAGTTAACAATGGTGAGGTACAGTGCCTCTGTTTGCAACGTAGGGAATTCTCCAGTAAAATGGAAGTAATGCAGTGTATCCATAAGCATTTTTGCAGATGTTGCAGGAACAGTTACATAAGAATAGCCATACTGGGTCAGACTATGATCCATCTAGCCCAGTAGCTTGTCTTTTGATAGTGGCCAATGCCAGATGCTTCACAGGGAATAAACAAAGTAGGGCAATTATTGAGTGATCCATCCCTTGTCGTCCACTCCCTACTTCTGTCAGAGGCTTAGGACATCTAGAGCCTGGGGTTGAATCCCTTTTTATCTTGATAATGGCCATTGATGGACCTATCCTCCATGAACACAGCTAATTTTTGAACCCAGTTCTATTTTTGGCCTTCAGAACATCCTTGGACAAGAAGTTCCATAGGCTGTGTGTGCATTGTGTGAAGTAGTATTTCCTTTTGTCTGTTTTTAATTGGCTGCCTATTAATTGGGTGATGCCTGATGCTTGTGTTATATGAAGGGGGAAAATACACTTCCTTTTTCACTTTCTCTACACCATTTATGATATTGTAGATATTGCTGTAATAAATGCATGAGTAATTTGAGTTCTTAAGGTTCTAATTGTGTTTCATTTTGGGGTGATTATTGTAATAGTTTTAGCTGTTAGTCCTCAGCTTCTTAAGGAGGAAGGTGGCTGTGCAATTGTATTAGTCTAGTGCAGTTGTAACAATGTAATGGTACAAAATACTATGTTGACCATACTTTAGACATGAAAAACCTACAGACCCAGATGATCCTCTGGCTGATCAAAACATCAAAGATCGTTACTATGGTATTAACGACCCTGTAGCTGATAAGCTTCTGAAACGAGCTTCAACCATGCCTCGTCTGGACCCACCTGATGACAAGACGATTACCACACTATATGTAGGAGGCCTGGGAGACACCATCACCGAGACTGATCTGAGGTATGTTGGTACATCAGTGTTCACATTTGCTTGGTGCCTGGATAACTGCAAATTAATAACTTGCTAAGGTTTTCCTAAGTTGTTTGCTCATCTTTTACAAGCATCTTGTTGAGGTTGCTATGCCTGAGTGAGAGTGAAGGGGGCCATTCGCCCCTTGGTTATGCAGCCCCATCATTTGTCCCTACAGGTCAGAAGTGAGTGACCAGTGTTGGTCACTTCTCCCTAACCAGAAGTTGGCTCATGTATCTGTTTAGAGGAACACAGAACTTTTGGAGGTGGGAATAAGATTTAGTTGTAGCAACACCTTGATTGCCGTGTTTAAATTCTCTTCCCCTCCAACCTCTACCAGAAATCCCCTAAGAGTGCATCATTGCTACGGGTGCCCAGAGGATCCCATTTTACACTTGAAATCCCCTCGTGCAACCTCCATCTTCCTAATTCCCGAATTCTGCAGAAACCCCCATTCGAGCCTGCCACTGTTGCTGCATAAAGTGTTGGGATAAAGGTTCTGGGATGGGCATTTCCTCTCTTTAACAGCAGATTTGATATCAAGGGGAAAGGGTGGATGTGAGCATGTGAGATTTCTATTGTGTGTTTTATGGAGAAGAGGAGGAGAATCCCATGTTGCTGTCCTTTCCTTGCAGAAATCACTTCTACCAGTTTGGGGAGATCCGGACGATAACCGTGGTACAGCGGCAGCAGTGTGCATTCATCCAGTTTGCCACGCGGCAAGCTGCAGAGGTGGCTGCTGAGAAGTCCTTTAACAAACTCATTGTCAATGGCCGCAGACTCAATGTCAAGTGGGGGAGGTGAGTGAGAGTGAGAGAGAGAGAGGAAGAGGGAAAGCATTTGTTTTCTTTTTGGAGGCTTTCGTCTGGATAGTGTTTTCGGAGAATTTGCTCTTAATTCAGCACTTCAGATTCACGTACTGTTCCTTACTTAGCTGACATGCAGTGTTGGTGACTTAGAAGCCAAGTGTGCAGAAGACCCACATATTTACTGGGTTACCTGTCTTTTGGGTGGGTAGTGAGGTGTTGGGGAATAATTGGCATTGAGTCTCTCTGAAAAATGCTATTCTGGGATACGCTGCAGTCTGAAAAAGCAGCATTAACTCCTTTTGTGCCAGCTCCCAAAGTGCCTGCTGTTAACATTCTGTACGTTCTTGATCCATGGCCTGAAGCGGTGGTCTGGGATTGGTGACATTGCAAAGCACTCTGGTGAGGGTCTGCCTGCCCTGCCGCCGCTCTTTTCAGTTCTCACACTTTTGGCTTGGCTTTCAGGTCCCAAGCAGCAAGAGGGAAAGAAAAGGAGAAAGACGGCACCACAGAGTCTGGTATAAAGCTGGAGCCAGTCCCAGGTCTCCCTGGAGGTAAGGGAAATGTTTCTGTACCAGTGATTGGCCTCTCAAAGCACAGAACAGCAGCATGAGGCAGAACAGTGTTACCCTTCTAGCTTTGCTCTCTGTACCACTAGGATCTGGGGATAGTAGGGCAGCAGCATGTTTCACTTCCAGAGTAGTTAGTGAACCTGTGTTCACACGAGCTGGCTGGAGAGTTTTCTATTTGTGGGCAATGAAGGAAATACAAGGTGTCTCAAGACTTTTTTTTTGTTAACAGGGTGATTGGAAAGGGACAATGGTTAGAATAAAGGCTATTAAATCATTGCGACCTTCTGTGCCATAAGATCTGGTTGTGTGTTCTTCATTCATGTTGGGTTCAAGTGGTGTTATTGTGGAAGGGGGAGAGCCTGTGGAAGGGATCACAGCTTTGATTCTAGAGCTGTGGTGTCCAACCAGTTCTGAAGCAGTAGCCACCAGAGTGGCTCCTGCTATAGTGAACTAGCCACGTTGTTTTGAAAATGGGAATAATTTTGAGCCAACTAGCCACACTCAACCAGCCAAATAGCCACATGTGGCTAGTAGCTAGCATGTTGGAAAGTTCTAGAGGCTCCCTGCTTTCCTGTGGCTGTGTTAGAAACATGCTGCTAACCAGGAGAGCTGCTTGCATCACTCCTTAGATGTTTCCTGATAGCTTTCACCATTAACCAAAGGTATGTTTGTGTCTTGAAGCTCTTCCCCCACCTCCCGCTGCGGAAGAAGAGGCTTCTGCAAATTACTTCAACCTACCTCCCAGTGGCCCTCCAGCCGTGGTCAACATTGCCCTGCCACCACCTCCTGGCATTGCTCCTCCTCCACCTCCAGGTAATTCCCCTTCACCCCCTCTGTCCTTTACTAAAGAGCCAGATTCCCTACTAGCAGATGCCCTGTACTGTAGTTTTGTGTGGTACCTACTAAGTGCAATTGTGTTTAGGAAACTGCTTGGGTTATAAATGTGGTCCTTTATGAGCCAGAACTGCCTGAGCTGTAATACGTTTTATGCAAAATTATCCAGTACCCAGGAGAATCTCATAAACTGTGCAGAGGCCCACTCCGCTCAGCTGATAGCTGTGCAAACCCCATGTTGTTCCTAACTCAGAGTGACTCTGAAGGGATGGAATGTTAGTGTCAATATCTGACTGCTTGTATATTCAGAATGTGAACTTCAGGAAGTGTTGGGTTTGTCCAGCTGCTTGTTGGGTCTCATTACCCAAATACTTCTGGTATGCACATCCACGAAATACAAAACATTTGGAAGTTCGTAACATAATAGGTGGCAGGGGAACAGGCACTTGCAGAATTGCAATTGAATAGCAACATGTCCTAGACTGGCCATGAAGCTGGCAGAAAGGTTAAGAGGGAGTAAATTGGGATGCCTCAGGGATAGGGAAGGATGGGAGGGGGGCACCCTTTCGGTGGCTCAGGTCTGTTGTGCTGATTTGGCTTGAATGACAAATAGGCAACAGTAGAAGACTCCATCGGGGTGCTTGGTAATCTCACACTTGTGTTCTGTGTCTGCAGGTTTTGGGCCACACATGTTCCACACCATGGGACCTCCACCTCCCTTCATGAGAGCCCCAGGCCCTATCCACTACCCTTCTCAAGACCCCCAGAGGATGGGCGCCCACGCTGGGAAGCACAACACTCCCTAGCACTCCGCTGACCTGGTCACTGTTTGAGTAGATGTCATTTTTTTGGTTACCATGGTGGCATATGTTCAGCTGTGGGTGAGCTGGAGACTAAGCCTTGCTTCCTGCTTGCACGCACAGGGCAGGCTGAGCTCTGTTGTGTTGCCACTAGCGAATTTGATCATTCATATAACCTGAATTGTTCACTTACTGTCAGGGGATGGGGGAGGGAGGAACGTCTAAAGGGTCCATGAATGAATTGTACTAGAATTACAATCCCATCAGTGTATTCAATTTTGCACATTTTGAAATAAATTTGTCTCCTGGGGAAAAAACACACCTTTTTTTTTAGCCAGTTTGATAGCCTCAGAAGTTTATGCCCAGGAATGTATTGGGGTCTCCTATACAGACTTAACTGGAGAGTGTGCTAGTCATGTTCATTCCGGAGTCAAATAATCAGTGATTCTTTATTGAAAAAAGATACGAGTTTCTCTAGCACTAAGCTAGAACTCTCTAAGATAATATTGAGAGAGAAGGAAACCATCAGGCACACAACTTCCAGGATTTCTCCTTCTACTTACTGTAACTTTTTCCTTCATTTTTTGTGCTTGCTTTTCTTCTGATCGTGAGAAACACTGGAGAATCCTAAGTCCCTATAGTCTGTCAGTTAAGTGATAGGTAATACAAACAATTCCTCTACTGCCAAATCTGACGTGACCCGGAGAGATGCTCAAAAAGCCATCTATTTCAGATAGGCCAGCTGGGACCCTCCTGCCCTCTCTTGGGGGAGTGAACTTTGCTACTGAAACTGCCAGAAATGAGGCAGCTGTTGTACTGCAAGTTCATTCAGTCTGAACTATGGCTCTCAACCTGTGAAGTGGACCAAACTATTTTTCATTTTGATAGTGTGTCATTCTTTTTTTTTTAAGAGCTCTGTGTTTAGCATTCACCCTAGAGCATCTGTTCTTTGCATAAAGTCTGTAATTTAATACTGTGCCTAGGCATCCGGGTGGGAGATTTTAAGATCTAAAAGTGTTGCTTTGATGTAACTGATCTGTAGATATGTTTTGCTATACAGAAACGTGATGAGACCTGTTCCAAAGCCTTATTGACTTGATTTTTGTTTTTTTAAATTAAAATGGGCAGATTTTCCAAATGTTTGGATCCTGCTTCCAGAGGCACAATTTATCTGAGTATTGTCTGACCTCGTTAGGCTGAGCCATCTGTCAAAGGATGACGGATGGTGTGAGAGAGCTAGAGTACAGCCCCAGTTCTGGTTCATTGCACTGACCTGTGGAATGTAGGGATAGGCTCCTGTTGAGGTGGAATGGGAAGTATTGACATTGCAGGCACTTTGGAGGATCTTGCGTAGGAGAGAACACAACTCTAGGGGGTGCATTTGGGTAGTGCACTGGCCTTTCACTTCTGGAGTCTTGGGTTTCAACTTGGCATACGAGTTGAACGGCCAAATGGGTGTTGCTGTTCTCAGGTTTAGCACTCAGTCCGTAGTGATCCACAGTATCAAAATATAGCACAGCTCGGTGCTGTTCAGCAGTTCCCAGAATAGCGTGTCACAGGCTGAGCTTGGCGACCCCATTGACAGATCTGTGCGGGGAAGCTGGCACAGCCCCTGCCTGTACTGGGTTTGAATCAGTACCTTATTCTGCAAGCACTGATTTCCAAACACTGAATTGAGACAAGTTTTATTATATAGCTAATTTATTTTCTCCGATCAGATTGCTGAATGTAAACATGGCCCCCAGCTCACAGGCAACAGAGAGGGAGATGGGCTTGGAGCGGGACAGGACTTCATAGGCACAAACCTTTAAATGCTTAGCCTGGCTCCTCTGCTTGCTTCTGGGGATGGGCGGAGGAATGAAAGTTCCTCACACAAGTGTTTCATTGCATGAGGAGTTCCTCAGACTGTAATGATCTGATGTGCTGCTTCTCCTCCATATGGTCTCATTGGCAACATTAGAAATACAGTGATTGTATGTTGCATTATTTACAAATAAGCCAGCCTTTTAAAATCACGCATTTACCAGCCTGGATACAACATTACTTGCCTAGCCTAACCACAATGATGCACAAACAAACAAAACCCCACCATTAAAAAAAGGCCAGTTTTGCAAGGTTACGTTAGGGTTTTCATAAGAATTTGACAAAAACTGAATTGATATAGAAGGTGCATAGTTGAGCTGGAGTTTTTCAATTAGCCATGGTGACTGAGACTGTTCGTAATATATACATGGGTTCTGCTCTGCACCTTTTTTTTGCACTTGCGTTGATGGCTAGCTGTGTTTTATAGACTGTGCTTGTGTGCATCCAAAAGGCTGTGGTCATAACACCCTTGTGCATGTGTTGAGTGAGGGTCTTCCTGGTCATAAAAACATCTCTATGTAGGATGCCCCCTCTTCCCTGGTGGTACCACAGGAATGGTTTTATCAAGCATTGATTTGCATGATCACACTGAAAATTCCTTAAATATGGAATCTTTGTTTTTGGGGCTCCACCAAGGGTAACATGGTGTACTGCATCTCAAATCGGCATGGTCTGATCCTGACTATTATTGAAATGGAAAATCTGAGCAAGATCAGACCCTCCATATATATATTTTTAATGAAGTGGTTTAAATATTAAAACAGCAATGCTGTGTAAACTCATACAGCAAGCTGTTGGGGTGAGAGAGGAATTGTAACCCGCCAAGCAGTACCTAGCTGGGAAAATCGCATAGGCTCCTGCTTCTCCTAGTTTGAGCATTAGTGGTTTCACGCACTCCCTTTCTATGCAGTTCGTGTTTCTGCAGCCAGTCCCCCAACGCCCAGGCCAGTGTTATATAATTTCCTTTAACAGGCTCTCTCCTTCTATGTCAGAGAGCCATTAGTAACATTTCACCCACATTCCTCAATTACCACCCTGCCTTATCGCTCCCCCTCGGCATCTCAACCAACCTTACGTGTCTACTGCACTGCCCTTAAGCTTGGATTTCTCAGAGCAGCCTGTCAATGCTGGTGTCAAATGTTTCAGCAGAACAGTTGCGGGGCGACTTGATGTGATGACAACGGGCTCTTCTGCTGTTTGCCACAACACGGGAGAAAGGACAATCTCTTTGCTCCAGTCAGATTGTTCCGTGGTGTAATAATGACAGATGTGGAAGTTGACTGGAATCACTTTGTTTTATCAATGAGAACTTGGCTGGTCAATTTGTCCCATCCTACAATAACAGGCACCCAAGAGAATCTTGCGAGAGGGTAGTCCAGGAATGGCCCTATATGTGAGCTTGCTGGGGGATGTATGACGGCATACTGAGGTCACTTAGCCTTCACAGGGTGCTCCCCTGTTCTGCTGTGTTAAGGCGTGCCTCTACTGGCGAATTAAAACAAAGCACGTTGGAGCCTAGCAGATAAAGCATCTGTGGGTTAAGAGAAAGAAGGAAGATTGTTACAGCTCTTCTGTCTCTGGCATAATCGCTACCCAGCCCTTGGCTGCTCTGTTAAAGCTTGGTCTATTCCAGACGAGCTCCAAGCTGTTCGGGGTGTCCATCAGAGCCTCCATCTCCAACGCAGGCACCGGGAACATGTCATTGAGTAGCACCCCACCAAATGGGATAGGAGTCCTGCATGCACAAAGGAGGAAAGTTAGCCAGGGAGGGGTTCTCTCAATAGACATGGATGAAAAAAACACTTTGGACTAGTTGCTCCTGGAGCATCCAACAGCCTTGTCATCTAGCAAGAGTCCTCAGTGCCAACCTGTGTCCTGAATAGCAGCCACAATCCCCGCCTAGTCTGTCTGGTTCCCTCCACTGATCAAAAGATTCATCCCCTCTAGACAGAGCTTCAGTCAAAGTCCTGCAGAGAGACATTCACTTCTCTCACTAGCTCAGCAGCCTTGGCTGAGATGGAAAGGGAGAGCTGAGTGTCAGCCCCACAGCTGCTACAACCCCCTTGTCCTTATCAACCCTGCCCACATCCACGGGTGTGCTGAATGAAAGGCAGCATGAGAGACCCCATATAGGAAAGGTCTTAGGGTAGCAAGTCCTACCCCCGATCCTCCTGGTAAAGCAATGTGAAGCTTCTTATGTGCAGCCAAAGTCTTCTGGAAGGGCGTGCAGCTGTGTTTACCACCAGGACCAATGCTGCTGTGCATAAACAACCTGCTTTCAGCCCTGGGGCAGCCTCTCTTGGAAGGTGATGAAAGAGCGTTTCTGCAGGGGCTTGAATGGAGAAACAGTGCAAGGGGGGCAGAGGCATAGTCCAGTGGAGCAGCTAGGCTTGGGCTGAATGTTAGGCCCTTAACATTTACGGCAGAACAGTGGTTTGGGGGTGGCAGTGAAGGCGGATTGTGGGGTGTATCTGCAAATGGCTGCTTCAGAAAGCACATGCTTTGGCTAACCCGTTACTCAAGTAACGTGGCATCGTGTCTCTCAGCAACATCCCAGGGAGGAACAAGTGGTGATTGCAGGTCTGAGCCCCACTTCTGGGGGAAGCGTGAATGATGAAGGCTTGTTCCAGAAACACTCGGACCCCCAAGGAATATGTGGCAAGGTTGTCCTCAAAGCTTAGGTTACAGCTCCTATAGGGTAGAGCCATCTCAGTGAACCTCTGTGAGGTCTTACATCACCCCTCCGCATTTTGTAAATAAACCAGCCTCTTTGAAGTTGGGGTAACGAACTCTCGACTGATCTGTAACAAATGTGAACTACTCCAGTGTTCATCTTCATTCTGGTTTCTGGTCGGGCAGCTTAATACAGAAGCAGCATGCATGTTCTATCAGCTTTGGGTTGGATTTGTTTGGGGTGGGGATAAGATCAAATGAAGAGTGGTGATTTTCAAAAGCAGGGCCTTAGATCAACAAGGATTTTTTTTTAACTCCGTTTAAATCCGATGGCTGTAAATTTGGTTTCCTGGCACTTTCTGCCTCAGCGAGGAGGTAGAATGGAGGTGAAAGACTTGGCGTTCAATTCGCATCTAGCTGTATTAAATATCAGTTATGGGCTTTAAATAGAAGAGCAGCATTTCAGAGGGGACATAACACAGGGTGAAGCTAGGCAGCCTTGCCCATCAGCTAGAAGCATGCCCTGTTTGAGCGTCTGTCTAGAAATAAATACTGGGCCAAGGGCAGAGGAACATGACCAGTCCTAGGAGCTAAAGAGCATGCGACTGCAGCAGCTCCCCCATCCTGTTGCTCCCTGTACAGTGTATTCCTGAAGGAGCTGGAGATGGGAAACATTTAAAACATTTGAACAAGTGAGTGTGTGAGAGAGGGGAGATGCTAAAGAAATCACAACAGCAACCCCTTAACTTTTCCACCCTTTGCTTCCGGCTGCCAGCACCACTTCCACCAGGGTCTTGTTTTTTTTTAGCTGGTGGGAGTGCTCCCAACTAGCCTGGTGTGGGAAGGGTTGGCAAGTCCCTTGCTCATATTTATGCACCACATTTCATCTCCAGAACAGAGCAGGGGAGCTACTTCTGGCATGACTCAAATACAGCCACCTTAGGGTTTGAATGACGGCACAGCAGCGTGGTCCCAGAAGTGAGGGGGATGGCCGTATCCATCTGAAACCCTAGCAAGAATTCAGCTAGGGAGGATATATTTACCCAGATAGCAGTTTAGCGGGCGGACACCAGACTGACGCTCGGGAAAAGGGCTTTTGGATCCCCAGTAATAAGAAGGAGTTTAGGTCTCGGTTTTATAATTCAGCTAAAGGACATTACCTCAGTTCAGCTCCACACAGGGTCACTTGTTCTCCTGCTGGAGAAGTGAGAATGCCTCTGCTGGAACCCCACCCCTACTTTCTGCAGAACATGTAGACTCCCTTGGCTGTCTGCCAGGCTAGTACTTTACAAACCCAGCCCTGCTTTAACAAATAGTGCGATTAACTGTTGCGCACAGTGCCTGGGGCCGGGCCCTTTGCTGGAGCCCGGGGTAGAAGAATCATGAGAGTTCAGTCTGCGGCGTGTGGCTGGGAGGAATCAGGTGACCTTTTAGCACCTTGCATAAAGATTGACTTAGTGTCCTCGCTGCGGCTGCAGCTATTTGTCACCTTCTGCAAACCAGAATAGCACATGAGCTGTCACTTAACCTGGCCATGGTCCAACAGGCGTGGAATGTAGACTGCTCTGAGCATAGGCACCGCCTCCGTGGGTGCTCCAGGGCTCCATCACCCATGGGAAAGAAAACGGTGCTTAGCACCCAGCAGTCTCTGGTTCTGGCATGAGCTGGTGGTCAGGAGGGGGTGGAGCTTTGGGGGAGGGACAGAGTGGGGCAGGAAGAGGCAGAGCAAAGGTGGGAAGAGGCAGAGTGAAGGCAGAGCATGGGGAAGGGGCGGAGCCTCAGGACGGATTGTGGGTGGAGCACCCACCAGGAAAGAGAGAAGTCAGCTCAGTGCCTGACTCCTACAGTGCTGTGCCCTTCTATAGTGCTTCACATCTCCTAAGCACAGTGCATCCAGCAGGAAGCCCTCCCAACGCCTGCCTAACAAACACTGCAGCGCTCCTTTGAGCCCTGCAAAACAGGTGGGGAAATGAGGCACAGTGATGTCAAGTGACTTGCCTGAGGCCACCTGCCCAGCCAGTGGCAGGGGAGGGCTTAGGGCTCAGGGGTTCCTTGAGGGCGCGAACCCATATTTAGCTTCCCTTTGCAGGTCACCTTTAAGACCTGCCATCCATGTCTTAAGTACTGTATTCCCTCTTGCAGCATCACTGGTGCCTGCTTCCTCTGAGCACCCACCCACGCAATGGGGTATCCAGGGGACAGGTAGAAGCAGCTGTAATTTCAAGAAGTCAAGGGTTCCCATGTGTCCGATTGCAGAGAAGTCAAGGGTGCCCCATCTCATTTTTGTGCTGAAAGAAACCCTGGCCCTGCCTTTTCCTGTTGCTATAAACAGCAGCTAGAATGGGTCTGCAAGAAAAACTACAACTATCAGCTCTTAGCAAGGTCTGCAGCCACCTTCTTCTCATCTCCAAGCCTGACCTACGCCCCAGGCCGAGTCCTCTGTCAGCACTGAATCCCCAGCATCTCCCCGCACACGCGGTGCATGCGTCGGGTGACTGTTACCTGTTGAAACTCCTCAACTCAAGGTGGCTGGGTTTGCTGGGCAGTTCAGGCAGCTGGCTCTTGCTATCCAGCCGGTAGTCTTCACTGCTGAGGAACTCCTGCCACGGGGAACAGTAGGCCTTGGGGATGACAGTGAAGTTGAACTTCTCTGGTGGGACTTCTTTCAGCGGCCCAGAGTAGCCTGCATTTGGGAGACAAGGCTTTTGTTACTCCAGCCGGCATACAAGGCAGCAGCCAGCTAGCTTTGGATCATCAGGTCTCCCCGGGCCTGTGCCCCTGTGGACAAGAATTCCCCCCTCTGAGAGGAAGGGCTGTGAGAGCAGTAGTGCTGGTTAGAATGATTTTTTTCCCCCATGAAAAATGCAGACAAAAGCTATTGTTTTCTTTTTATCAGAATGTTTCTTAGGCATTCTTCCATCCTGTCGCTAACAGTTCCGGTTATTTTCTTTTGGACAAATTAGGCAAAAATCAATTTGTTTACCCACACACAAAAATAATTTTTATTAAAAAAAAAAGCCATATTTTTCCATTGAAAAAACGTCTTGGCGGACAATGCCTGGCCAGCTGGAACGACCAGGCTCGACATGGGGTGGCTGTTCTCTGATTGGCTGTGGGTGGGGTAGTGAGTTCTAACATCGTCCTTGTTACCCCTGCATTCGCCCCATGCACATGGTGGTCTTTTTCTGTGGGCAACTCCTTACCTGGAGCCAGGACATCAGGGTTGAGGGCTTTACTCATCTGCAGGACTTTCTGTGTCTTCTTGGGCACTTTGGGAGGGGCCCGTTGGCCTGCTGCTGCCATGTGAGGCTCTGGGGGATAGTTCTCCTTGCCCTCGGCAGACTGGAGAAGAAAGAGCAGCAGGAGAAGGCTGTGAACAGGGTGCCGGGAGAGGTCTGCTCCGCTTTGCCCTTGGTGGCTGAGATAAGGTCTTGCGGAGAAGATGGAGCAGTAAAGGGCAGGGAAGGAGACTTAGTTAGTGATAACTTTTTTTGCTCAAGAATGAGAAGAGTCTATTGCGCTAGCTAGAGCCAGGCAGGGCGAGGCCAGGTGCTGTGCAGCCCCCCCAATATGAGAACCTTGCACAGTTCCACCGGTGGACCTCCGTGAGGACCTACCAGCCCCCCGCTCTCTAGTCTTTGGTCCTTTCCGAGACACTTGCCCGGTGAATTTGTGATGAACCAGAATTTGTGATGAATTTGTGATGAACCATCTTGGAGGAAAACTTCCACCTTGCGTCACTTTGCCTGTCCCGGGGGATGATCAACCCAGGTCTCCAGCCATGGAAGGGGACTTAGGGAGGCTGGACCTGTGGAGCTCTTGCCTCACCCAGAAAGGAGAACATGAAATCAAGGCGATAGACACTCACCTTCACCCCACCCAGCATTATGGAATAGCGCTGCCAGCTGCAGGGTCGGTGAGAGGGCCTGGCTGGAGGGACTGGGGGGCTTCAACACCACAGCAGTGAAGTAGCCCAGCCTGCATAGCAGGGCCCAGAGGACCACTTTCGTAGGTGCCTTGACGCTAGGAGCATCCGCACACCCTGCTGCAGGGAGTAACAGCAGCCTGCCGGCCCCTTCGTGGCCCTTTGCAACGTGTCCAGTGAGTGCAAGGAAAGTGAGAGGAGGCCAGGCAGGGGGATGGTCCTAGAGCTGCCAATGTGGCGACTTCAGTAGCCCAGCTCTGGCCTGACCGGTTAGCATCATCCCCTGCTTCTCTTTGATATCCAGGCCTTGGGGACACTCACCATCCACGCGTCCGGTTGTCCTGCCAGGTCCCCCTCAGCCACGCCATGTGAGCCCCCTGCTGTCGTCCTGCTCGAGCCCTGCGGGGGGCAGGGAGAGCGATGTCACTCTGAGGGGCGCATGCCCCACACGGAGCCCCCATGCCAGGAGCATGCTCCCAACTTAAGGGCCAGCAGCGCCCGTGGAGGCAGAGCTCGGTTTCCTGGCTCTGCTATGGGGATCGGTTCCGCTGACGCTGGCCAAAGCAGCCGGCAGCGCCCTATGGAGACAGCCCTGCTCTCCTCACAGCACATATGCCCACAACAAAGATGGCTGCCTCGGCCACACGCCTCGTTAAAGTGTGCGGTTACAGGGCAGGGCTTCTTGTTATATCAGGGCTGCCCATATCCTTGGCTAAAAAGGAGTGTCCCTCCTTCATCTCAGTGGGCCACAAGATTGTCATAACCAACCCGGTCTCCCGGGATAGGGCAGTTTTGCTCCCTGCGCTGGCATCCCTAGAATGTGTGGGATGGGCCAACTGAACCGTAGCAGCGCTGGGCTTGGAAGCAGAGGGTGCACCCGGCTCTCACAGTCACTGTTGTGTGCAACCAGCACCCACCTCGTTTCATGGGCCCTTGGTTCACATGAATGTCACTTCAGTCATACCAGTGGGAAAAAAACTATGCAGATGGAAACCAGCAGCATCTGGCAACCCTGTGTGTGGGCGACGGTAACAAAGGCTGTGTCGAGACTCCCTTCCTCTCTCGAAAGAGGAATGTAAATGAAGGCAATCGAAAATGCAAAGGAAGCGCTGATTCACAAATCTCGCGCTTCATTTGCATAATCGCATCCGATCACTTTTTCGAAAAAAAAAGCAGTCTATTGGCAAAACCCTTTTTCGAAAGAACCCTGTAAGCCTCATTTTTTCAGGAATAAGGGTTCTTTCGAAAAAGGGGTTTTTTTCCGAAAGAACCACGTGTAGACTGCTTTTTTTTCTGAAAACACCTTTTTCGAAAAAGAGATCAGATACGATTATGCAAATGAAGCGTAAGATTTGTAAATCAGCGCTTAATTTGCATTTTCAGTTTCCTTCATTTGCATTCCTCTTTTGAGAGAGAAATGTAGCCTAGACATAGCCAAAATGTCTTGGGCCCCACATGTAAAACTTCGATGGACTACATGTGGCCCTCCATGCAGGTGGCCCATCGCTGCCCAAGGTGCACCCTAGCAAAGGGCTAGGGAGGTAAGCCAGGGTGCTGGCGTAACCTGCGGTGTGTGTGCGTGTGTGTTAAAGCTCCCGCTCTGTGCCGATCTAGAGAATGGCTTTATTACGGACCCCTCCACCGTGAATATCTGGAGCTTCAGCTCAAGCTGGGGCAGCTCCGGTTCTTATCTCTGGAGGTCTCTGGACTGTAAGCCAGGATGGGACCATCATGCTGACCCAACGGTGTTAGCTCCCACTATGGTGCAGTGACTCACGGCTCCGTAGCCCATGGGGTGCTCCAAGATGAACTTCTGCACCCGCTTCTGCCTCTTTTGGAACAGCTGGGACCCCCTGTTGGACTGCAGAGAAAGCTCCTCCACCATCAGATCCTGGGGGACGCTGACCTTCTTCCCCAAGTCCAGCTGGAGGACTGAGCACACACAGAGCAGGGCAGTGAACGCACAGGGGTTGCGATGGGCAACGACTCTCTGAGCACGGGGCCCGCAGAGGACTGCGAGCGTCTGTGCATGGGGCTGCCCTGCAGGGGAGCCAGGAGAACCTTGCTCGGGGGAGAGGCCAGAAGATGGCCTGGCTGCTTCAGCTCCGAGGAGCAACCAATGTCTCGCCAAGCTCTACAGGGCCCGTCAGGCTGGTGCAAGAACCACACTGATGGGAGCCTCATCCAGCTAAAGAGGTGGGGGCCAGGAGGCCTTATGGGGGGAATGAAAAAGGAGGACAGTCAGGGGCCCCAAGGCCGAGAAGGAATCAGAATAACCTCTAGGGTACGTCTACACTAACTCGTTAGTTCGAGCTAGGTAGGGTAATGAGGGCAAGTGGAGTTGCAAATCAAGCCCGGGATTTAAATCTCCCGGGCTTCATTTGCATGTTCCCGAGAGCCGCCATTTTTAAATCCCCCTTAGTCTGAACACCGTGCCCGCGGCTACACGCGGCACGGAGTAGGTGGTTCGAATTAAAGATCCTAATTCGAACTACCGTTACTCCTCCTGGAAGTACGAGCTAGTGTAGACATACCCCAGTGATCCAGTGTAGGGGCTAATTGGCAATGTACTTTTCATTGGTTTGAAAAGTCCAAGGATATAGTCCAAGAAGAGGCTGGTAGCATTAATATCCCTGGAGTGCAGGGGGGATTTTGCCAGCGACTTCCTTTGAAGTGGATCAGCATAATGCCCCCTTTTTGATTTTTGAGAAACCCCCCCGCCCCCCGTCCCCCAATAGCAGCAAAACTTGTTGAGCAAAAAAAAAAAGGAACTGCCTGGGGCCAAAAAACAAAAATAGCAGCACAGCTTGGGGGCGGGGGAAGGTATTGAAGGGAGGGCTGAGTTGCCTTGCGCCCCCCCCCCGGAATTTCTTCATGCCCCCATTTGGGAACCCATGGCCTACATGAATGGCATGCGGCATCCTTAATGGGAACCACATTTCTGGGGCTACTCCGTAAGACAAAGTGTCTCTTACCGTCTCCTGCCGTCTCCCTCAGGATGGCTGCCACCTGCCTTTTTCTCTCTCTGGTGGGGTCCCAGTGCACAATTGGGAACATCTTGCCGCCTGGAAAAGAAGCAGGATCCCAAGAGGACTCGCACAGCAGGGCAGACCCTCAGTGTGCCAGTTGCTCCGTCCCTGGGAAGAACTGCCCCCCCGGTGGAGTTTTGAGATTTGTGTGACGGCTTTATGCAAGCTGTCATCCTGGCGCCGGGCTTGGCTCCCTTTTGGAAAATAGGCGCAAGCTCAGAGAGAGTGCAGCTGGAAAAAGGGGGGTTCCCCTCTGTTTTACGGTCTTAGGGATTGTATCATGCCACCACGTCTCCCCCACTTCACTGCAGACATCTTCCATTTGCTTCAGGACCAACCCTCCAGGCTACAGAGCTGTTCCAGGTGACCACTTTCGGGCCCTCCCGTGCTCTCCTCCCCTGTCTCTCCACTCTTCTTGGACTAGTGGCTCTCCAACCCGCCACACGATTCCCCATCGCCTGCCTGCTGGTGCCGTCTCCTGAGGCAGCTCGCCAGCTGACATCGCTTTGCTCTTCCTTCTGCCCCCCTGTTGCCGGTTTTATGGCTGAGGCACATAATGCAGTGCCCTGGGCAACTCCGCCAGGCGTTGTGAGGGGCTGACTCGTGGGACAGATGCTGTTCAAAATGCGCCAGTCACAGATGCAGCGTGCTGTATACCAAGCTTTCTGATCTCCGCTCCCTGAGACCCGGGGACTGTTCGGTGAGCTGACACCTGCCCTGGTGATTCATAAACGTCTGCTCCTTTGTGCTGAGTTTTGCTGGAGTGTCGGAATTCACCCCGCGCAGGAGTGAGTTTTATAGGCTAGTGAAAATGTTGCAGGTTTCCTTGTAGGCACCTTATGGCTAAGTCACAGTACCAAACCAGTGCTTAGAAGAAGGGCAGAATAGGGATCTAGCATTAGTTGGATGGCTCACATTGCCTGGGCCATCTAAGCCTTTTAATGTGGACCCTCCTGAGACCAAGAGGCAGCCCAAATCAGTCACTTTTGCTTTGTTTGCAAGTCACCCCCTAAGAAGTTCTAATTGGGCACTTCTCTAAAGAGGAAGAAATAGTCCCTGTCTCATCCCCCTCCCCCCAGACCACCCCCGGAGCATCACCGATTCATCAAAGGGTTGAGCTAGAAGAGACCTCAGAGCGTATCTAGTCCATGCTGCTGCACTGAGGCAGGGTTAGGTTTACCATCCTCCTCCCCTCTCACACTCCTGTGGTGCGTGAATGGGGCAGCAGGCCAAGTGAGCAACACCTTGCTCTGCTTTGTGGCTTTCACTATGGAGACCCTTGTGCTCCTCGCTGCTTCCTGAGCGCCCATGTCATGATTATGAGGGTTAGCCAGCAGCCTGGGGATTAAGGGGTTAACTACACCTAGCTAGGTGGAGTGACCAGTAGGAATGTAGGTGGGACTTTCAAACTGGGACAAAGGATTTTGGGTTTTTTTCCTTTCTCCCTTTTGTCTCTCTGGGGCCGTGTCCAGACTCAGGGGTTTTTTCGGGAAAAGTAGCCTTTTCCCGAAAAGGCTGCGTCCAGACTCAAGCCGCGTTCTTTCGAAATTATTTCGAAAGAACGCGGCTTTTCTTTCGATGGCGGTAAACCTCATTTCACGAGGAAGAACGCCTTCTTTCGAAAGTTCCTCTTTCGAAAGAAGGCGTTCTTCAATGTAAAGAGGCCGTCTTCGAAAGAGAGCATCCAGACTCGCTGGGTGCTCTCTTTCGAAAAAGCGGATTTCTCTTTCGAAAGATCCGCCTGCAGTCTAGACGCGATCTTTCGAAAGAGGCTCTTTCGAAAGATGCTTTCGAAAGAGCCTCTTTCAAAAGAAGCCTGCAGTCTAGACATAGCCTGGGTGTGTTCTCTACAGCTACAGAGAGGGACAGGCATGTCTCTCTCTCTTTCTCCAAGACACCATTCTTCATTTTCTGTAAGTAGGGTAAAGTTTAGGCTTTATTGTTTTAAGGGTTGGGTATGGGATCTGATGTCTGGCCCTGCTTAAGAGATGTTTTGGCTTTTCTTTGTAACTAAGTTCTAGGCCCATGGAGTTTCTCCATGAGTATATTTTTTTACCTTCCCATCTAGTCATTATGCCTGCAACAGGAATATTGTTGTAATAATAAAAGTTTTTTCTTTTCTTTTTATTAACCTGGCATTGGTTACTTGTGTGTCCTGATTTTTATAATAGGGGTGAGATTTCCCAAATGATCTTTCCCCTGATTTCTTTATCAACATTTGGGTGGTGGCAGCGGAAGTTTTATTCCCAAGATCTAGGTTTTTAAGATTTTGGGGGAAGTTTTATACCAAAGCCTGGTGGATAAGGCTTTGGGGTACACTAGCTGGCCCCCACTTCTGCATTTATCATGCCAGAGTGGGGAAGGAGCCATGACATGTAGCCAGGATCTATTTTAAGCTCTGCAGAGCAGGGAGTTGTAACCCTGCTCCTTTGGGCAGAGAACACAGAGTCAGCTTGGTCCGGAGATGCTGGGCTCCCCTTCGGCGAGTTTGCCAGGACGTTAAGCCCCTGCAGGTGCAGCAGCCTTGCTAGCAAGCGACCTTGGCTAGAGCCATAGCATAGAACCAGGAAAGGACTTGGTGAGCCAGGGGGGGGATCCTGGCCCCATTGCAACCACTGGGAGCTTTGTCTTGGCTTTCACTTCCACCTGGATCCCACCCCAGACGTCAGAGGACATGCTGCTTCCTGAAGGAGAAGAGCCCACTGCTCACAGCTTGGAAGGATGAACCAGAAGCCTCCCCACCCACAGTCCTGCATGATCCTGGCCTGGCAAGATCTCAGCATGGGCTTGTGTTCCACTCCCCATTTCTAGCGTCACCAGGCATTGGAGTATGGGTTTGCCATTGCTCTTCCAGAGCCCAGCCAATTGGCTCGCTGGAGGGGTTGGAGCGAGCTCCCATTCACCCCGCCCCATTAGCCAAGAGCTAGAGTCACTGCACCAGCAGGCAGCAAACATCAAACAGCTGAAAGAAAACGCTACACTTGCGGCATCCTGTGGAACTCTCTGCTGCAGGATATTATGGAAGCAAATACCTCTCACTCCCAGTCTAATTCACAGCAATGGATAAGATTTGTCTCTGCAGTGACACTAGCAAGGGAACATTGTAAGACACGTCACGCTTCAGGGTATAAGCTGATCGCCCTCTGGGCACAGGAACAAACTTCCCCTGCACTGCAACTGGCTGTTCCAGGAGCGTTTGTCTCTGCAGCATCCAGTGTGAGCCCCTGTGAGAGGCAGGGAGTGGGGGGAGACAGCCCATTGACCTACCTGCATGGGGGTTCCCAGGTGAGTAGCCATTTCCCCATGCGATGTAACCTGTAACTCCACAACCCATGTCCTGGGCCGCCGCCCCTCTTGCCCACAGCAACTGCCATGCCTGCTTTGGGAGCCGCCGTATGGAGGGTTCCTCGGAGCCGCGCCCATCCCCTCTTCCTCGGGTTCCGGAATGGAGCTGCCTCACGCCCAGGTCAGTGGCACCCACAGAGCCAACCGCTGGCACGGCTGCGTCTGGCCGCGGCTCCTCTCCACGCCCATTTGCTCACATCACCCCTGTTCCAAGCCCAGAACCGGGGTAACCCTGTTGCGGATTTGTAGGGGTCCTGGGCCCTGCCCCTACTGAAACAGACATGGGCAATGCCATTCCCACCCTGCCAGCTGTGCGGTCTCCCCCGCGCTATTAACTCTCCCAGGGAGTCTGAGCTGAGCCAGCCACACGGGGCCTATCTCTCAATAACAGGCAGCAGAGGGAAATGGAGCCACTGGGGGTCAAACTCCGGCATGCTGCTAAGTCCCCTCCAGCCATAGCAATCCTCTCCCACCCCCCGCATTCAGAGCCAAGCTCTTCGTACCTGACTGGGTGACTCCTCGGGGTGTGATGCTGTTGGATGAAAGGAGTGTTCCTGCTGTGCTCGGCTAAGGCTTTGCCGTGGGTTTCCGTAACAGCTTTCCCCGTCCTGCCCCACTGCCTGCTGCCCAGCGTTTTCCAGTAGCCCCTGTGGCTTTCCTACCCCCGCTGTGCCCTGCTTGAGCGCAGCCCAGTCCACAGCTGAGATTCCTCGGCCCTAATCCGTGTTACATCAGACATTTATTTCTGGCTGAGAAAGGGGGCGGAGGCAGTGTAAGCCCTTGATGAGCCAAGGTCCGGCCGCAGCGAGCCCACACAAACACAGAGGCACACGCGCACACAGACGCGCACGTACGAAGCCAGATGTGCCCGTTTGCACACAGATGCATAGCCATGCCTGTTTGAATGCACGCATTCATACATGTCCTTGGAGAAGGCGGCATTGGCTGTTGCATGGTACTTCAAAGACAGCCTGGGCCAGGGGAGAGCTAAGCACCCTAGTGGGGTATGCAAACTAATGCCAGTGCTGGAGAAGCAGAGTGTGATGCTTTCTCTAGTAATGGCAGGGCAAACGTGTATCAAATGCAACCCATTTAAGACAGATACGGGGAAATATGCTGTTACACTCTTGTTTATTAGCATTACTTTTAATGCACCATAAGTGTACAGAGTTTTTCACAAAACACAGACAGAAATCACCTCTGCCCCAAGGAGTTTACCCTAGAATTCAGAGGAAAGGGAACCATTAAAATCTGCGGAACTCACTGCTACAGGATATGATAGTGTAAACAGTACAGTTCACAAGAGGGGTAGCAATTCAGAAGAGTACAATTAGCATCACAGGGACACGTTAGGATTAAATTACAATGAGAATCTAACTTCACTAAGCTGTTCACCAGCTGGGGTCAGAAGCGTGGCTCCCACACACGTCCGGGCTGTGGGATAGTCACCAGGAGGTTCCTGAAACATCCCATTGACCACTTTGGGCTCTTATTTCAACTGGCATCCGTGTAATAATACCAAGGTGGTGGGGGGTCATTTCTGCAGCTCGCAAGACCCTCCTGAGGAGACTTCTCAGGTCAGCTTGTAGGAAGAGAGAGCAGAAAAGACCCTGTACTGCAACCACCCACGCTGCCATTAGTGGTCAGGAGTCTCACGCCAGCCGGCTCTGAGCTGTGCCTGGTGGGCCCTACCCAGCCCAAAAGATTTGTGCATTCCAGCCCGTCCAGCTCAAGCCATCCACTGCTAGGGACATTGGGCAAAGCTTTCCCACTGCTGACACGGGTTCAAATCCTCCGTGGCTCCGTGGCCTGTGTGCTCTAGGCACTCTGAGCACTCCAGAGTACCGGTGGCGCTGGCCCCACAAGCTGATGACAGCGGGGGATTATTTCCCTAGTGTAGACGAGATTCCTGGATCTGCTGTGCTGACACCCACCATTCAGAGAGCCGTGGACTAAACCCGGAGCTGCTCGTTCACCTTTGCTGCCACCTGGTGGCTGTTCTTTATCACTGCAGGCTTAGTGTAGGCAAGGCCTGTTGGGGTCCATGCATTGTCGCTTACTAGCAATAGTCGAGTGCTGGTTCCCAGAACATCTGTACTCACTGCCTGGCCAGGCTTGAACATCTGTACTCACTGCCCGGCCAGGCTTGGGAATCTTCAGCAGCAGCCAGTCCATGCACCCCCCTGGCAGGGCTAAGGAACCGATCCCTGAGGGACAGTGGCTTTCACCCACTCCGCAGGGCACCTTGCCAGTCCAGCGACAAGTGCATCTGCAGGTAAATCTGCCCCCCGCACCCTCCCTCTAGCGCAGGGTTTCCCACCCTATGGGTCAGGTCCCAAATATGGGTCACCTACATTTCAAAAGGGGGCCAAGTGTCTCCCCAAGTGTCTCCGCCCTCCCTTCTCCCCGTTTTTGACGTGCCTTGGGTCACCAAGTCTTCCCGATTTGTCAAAAGGGGTCCCCACCTGGAAAAGGTTGGGAACTGCTGCTCTAGCTCCTCTGTGATGCCATTAGCGTGTGACAGCATGACGGTTCAATGTGCCACCTTCTCCCGCCCCCAGGCGCCTCCTGCCAGCAACGTGGGGGAGTCTAGTTCTAGTCGGGCTGAGTGGGGCGTGACATTTGTCCAGAGAGGGGCTCGTGCCTGGGCTAACAGATGAGGTCTGCTGTTAGGAAGGGGACTCTGAGATGTAGGGGAGGGGCAGGGCTGGGTATCAGACCACAGCGCTCCCTGGTCTGGCGCCTCACTTACCAGCGGTGCAGGGGTGGGAGCTGACACACCAGCTTTTCACCCTGCCCCTGCAACCAGGACAGGAACAAACCTGGGAGCCTGGGCCAGATTCCGCCCTCTTCTTGCAGCACAATCTTTCTACTCCCTATGCCAGCTAGACTCCTACACACCCGCTGGGCTGAGCCATTTGGGTTCCCCTGGCCACAAGCAACATGCCCAAGGTGTTTCTTAGCTGCCCTTTAATTTTACCCCGCAGTGGCAGCAAGCCCATTTAAGCCAGCCAGGATGCCCAGCATGAACGCCATGGCCGAAGGAAGCCATGAGGCAGTCAGGGTCGAACGGACACAGGCAGGACAGACTGGGTGAGATAATGTCAGTTTTATTTTCGAGCGTGGTATACAGCGATGTGCGCACCATAGAGCAGCCGGTGACACTGTGGCAAGGAACGCCTGAGGCAATTTCGCCGTGGCGTACGCACGTGGGCGTGAGGCGGCGCAGCCATGAGAGCTGCTGGTCACACAAGGCTGGTGAGCTCTGTGTTTAGCGGCTGGTAATGGAGGCCTCCGCTGTGCCAGGACGCCTGCTCAGTGGGGGTACGTCTACACTGCGGTCTAAAGTTGAATTAAGTGACGCAACTTCAGCTACATTAATTCGGCTTTAGGCGCTGTCCACACAGCAGGAAGTCGAAGGGAAAACACTCTCCCGCTGACGTCCCTTACTCCTCGTGAAATGCGGGTTACAGAAGTGGGAGTAAGACGCCTGCTATTTTGAAATCATTTCGAAAGAACCGGCTTGCTGTGTAGACGCACGCTGTTATTTCGAAGTAAGCGTGCAGTGTCGACCTAGCCTGGGGGTCACACACCATCGCAGTGCAGAGGGTGCGGGACACTCCACTGGTTCCTCAATCCACAGGCTCCTGCTCCTGCTGGCAAAGTGGCCCATGCTGAATGGAGCCATTCCCGTGCCCGCCCACACCCTCCATGGGGCAGCTCCCCCTAGCTAACCTCTGCCTACGGGCCTCTGGGCTTGGCCAGCGGGAAAGGGAAGCCCAGTATTCAGAGAGAGGGCCGGATGAGTATCTCAGGGAGGAGCAATGGCAAAAGCTAGTCACCAAGGGCTTGATCCAAAGCCCATTGAAGTCAGTGGGAGTCTCTGGCTAAGGCTTCAGCGGCAGGCCTGGGAGTGGCTCCCCAGCGGAGAGCGCGCCAGAGCCTACAATGATCTGCCCCTGGAGGACATTTCAGCGCTGGTGAGCAGGCGAGCGGTGTCCCTGCCCTAATGCCTGGCTGCACTTGTACCATGTCGGGAGGGCGTTGCCCAGAAACATTATTCTGCAACCGGCAGGCAGCAGACCAGCCCCCCCAATCCTCACGATCCATTTGGCTTGTGTCCCAAGCGACCAGACTAAAACCACCCCCATTTCGCACCCCTTTCACTTACACTACCCTCTGCCATGCCACTGCTCCCCTAGCCCTCCCCTCTCTGCCCCGGGGCTGTCAGACAGCTCCCGCCACCAGCCCCAGTGCACGGCTCAGCCCTACGCTCCCATCACCCCGTCTCAGCACCTACCTGTCCTCCCTCTCGCCCCTGCAGGCCCCCTCACGCCCATGCCCAGCTGGGCTTCCCTGGGCTAAGGCACCATCGGCCACTGGGGCTGCAGGCGTCAAGCCCCACTGGTCCTTGCAAACCTGGGAAGAGTGTCTGTCATTTACAGCCAGGTCGAGGGTTTGGGGCTCTGCTCCTCGCTTTGCTGGTCACTGCTGGTGTCAATCTTGCCTCACTGTGCTGTGGACTGCAACCGTCTTTGTAGCCCCAGAGTTCAGCATGGCCAGCAGCAACATGAGACCCCCCCCCCCTCATGTATTGTGTCTCCGACCTCCCCTGGGGCCACCGCTAGGAAGGAGATGGTCACCAGGGCCACCAGGAGAGGGCCACCAGCTGGCACCAGTAGTAGCCCTCTGGCATGAGAAGTTGCTCTGGGACCCCTAATTCTTTTTACCAGCTCCCCAGTGGGAAAGCTTTCTGGTCCTTCCTGCCCCGAGTCTCCCCTCACCTCCGAGCTCTGGAAGCAAAAGGCTCCAATCCCTAGAGGCCTCCAGCCTCACAGGGATGAGCTGGCTGCGAATTGCCTGGCCACATTAGCGAATTGCTAAAGCCTCACGTCCTTCCACTCCTGGGTGCCAAAGGATGGGGCGACACAGGAAGGCATAGCCTTGACGAAAATCAACTTTTGGGAAACTTTTTTTGACTTGTTTAGGGATGAAAAAGTTTTCAAAAAGCCTCATTTTCCAGGGTGTCTTTTCTGAAAAATTAAACAGGGTTTTTCCGAAGTAACAACATCTAGTCCTGGGGGTTTCTGTTGCCTCTGGTGTGTGGGGAGGGAGGGAGGGGCCAGTTTTCCTTGAAAAAAATGTCAAATGACCAATCTCATCTGATTCTATTGGGACAAAGGGATTGTGCCCTTCTCCAGCTCACCCCTACTGGGCCCCACTGACCTCTGCCACATCTTGCTGTCTGTCGCCTCCTCCTGGGACACATGGGCCGGGGCTGGTCCCTAGGTTGCCACGCGCTCCCTGGCTGCCAGTCTCTGTTGGGTTCATTTGCCTCCATGGACGCATGTTGCTCACAGCAGAAGCAGGCACGTAGCATGTGATTTCCCCCTTCCCACCCCGTTCCCTTAGTGGAACCAGAGCAGCAGACGTGTACCCGTGGGGCTTTGGGAGGCCAAGGGGTCGTGGGGAGAAGGGGTCCCAGACATTCTTGTGCCTGTGCACGGACATGTGAACTCCTCTGGCGAGGGAGTGCCAGCTAGCCCAGGGCACAGCTTGCGCCTTTAGGTTCACAGAAGCAGTGGAAGCCAGGCAACTGCAGCCCAAGGCTCCCTGCACCCCCCATCTGCAGCGCCTGTGGGCAGACCGGGGGGCTAGAAAGCCCAGTAGTTGGGAATGGGGAGAGAACACGAGCACACCGCCATCTGGTAAGCGCAGGTGCGGGTGGGCTGCCCTCCTGGCGCTCACCTTGCTTTAAAGCCAGGCACGCTCGTGCCTTGAAAGATCAGGACGATAAACACAGAGGCCGCCTACTTCCTCGGGGGCAGAAAGGGGAACACCTGATACTGCCCTGTGGCCCGGCCAGCCCATGGGCCGCACGCCACACTGCCAAGCACGCAAATGAGAGAGAGCAGGCGGGCGGGAGACGCGGGGTGGGCGGGGGAAGATGCAAACGGGCTAGGACGTTCGTGCTCTTTCCTCACGACTCTGAGCATGGTCTGGGCCGGTCACCCTGTGCAGGGGTGGTGGGAACCCACGACAGTGAAAACAAGCATGTTTCTATAGCCTAGGCCCGTGGGCAAACTCAGAGCCTCTCCCTCCCCCCCCCAAGTCTGCAGTGGCCTCTCGTATACTGCGTATCGGCTAATGAGTCACCCAGTTCCCCCCCACAAACAGCCCCAGGACGGACGTGCTGCGGACGACTCCTCACGGCCAGTGGCACTGGCATGGCCCCGTGACATGGAGGCATGTGCGCCTGCCTGTGCGTTCCCCTGCAGCCAGCTGGGACAGGGCTATGTCCCTTCGCGGGAGCCTCTTCCCCAAAGTCATCCTCCCCGCTAGCTGGAGCTCGGCAGTACAGGGGGGCCCTTCCACGGCTGAGACAGTGGCCCGGACCCATTGGCTCCATCCATTTTACTCAGCAGGCCACTGGCTAAGAGGGAACCCCTCTCTCGGCCCCACCTCGCCTCCCACCCTCACTGCTTGGGTCTCGGAGCTGTTCGTGGCTCACGCCCCACAGCCGAGTCCAGGCTGGGGATGGGGAGAGCAGCTGCACCTGTGGCATGGCTCTGACTCTCCGGTGGCTCCACCAAGGTCCCTTGGACAGGCGTCCCCCACGTCCGTGCCCCAGGAGCAGGCGTTAGCTACCGCCAGCGTGGCGGGGGGGCTGTGGCAGGGGCACGTGGAGCATAGTGGCGAGAAGTTGGCGTGGGCAGCAGGCAAGCTCAGTCCTGTACTGCTCCCCCAGGAGGGCAGCCCCACCTCCTCCCGTTCTCACCACCTCAGCTCTGGCAGCCCGGGAGTGGGACAAGCCCCCGGTGGCCGCGGAGCTCCCTTCAGGCGGGCCCGGCAGCACAGGTAGCCGCTGTGCATGCAAGCTCTTCCCCCCCCACACACCCTTCCCCCCGGGTGGCTGGAAGCAGGCCTGATCCGTGGCCTCTGCAAGGCGCACAAAGGGAACAATGGGATTCAGAGGCAGCAAGCTGGAAAGCCCATGGCTGGTGGCCTCCCAAGCCCCCTCCGGCCACTCGCCATCTTGCTCTGGGGATTACGCGGCCGGAAGGACAGTCTCAGGGCTGCCTGCTTGCCGTCTGAGTCCCCTTCGCGCTGGGCACGTCCCGGGAACAAAAGCAATGCCAGGCTTGCTCATGCCACTGGAGCCAAGACGTCATTGCTGGCTGCAGTCCAGCCGGGGGATCAGTCTGGGAAAGCGGAACACAGGGAGGAATGGGGCTCCATGGTGGCTCCGGTGAGGGGTTGGGGGCGTCTGGATCCAGTCAAGCCAGCAGGCACCGTCTTGTGGCTTGGCTGTCGCAGCCCAACCTGGCGTCCGCAAGGTCCCGTCCATCAGGTGCACTGCCTTTTGACTAAGCCCCCTGCCCCGTTCTAAGCCTTTTGGGGAGAGGTGCCCTGGAGGTGGGGGGAGGGAGGGACTTGCTCTCATCCCTTCCCACAGCCCCCAGCATCCTCCCCCCGCCGCTTAGCTTGGTCGGCACGGCCAGGTGCTGGTCGGTCCAGGCAGTTCAGCCGGCTCCAGTCCCGTTCTTGCTCAGTTCTCTGGACTCCTCCTGGCCTAGGAGGTGCAAGACGCTTCCGAGGGCAGGCGCCCGGGTTTCAGCCGCATGCTTCCGTTCCAGCCCCGGGGGCAGATGTTAAAGCTGCGGATCCCAGGAGACTTGGCCCCGGAGTCTTCCGAGTCGATGGACACATCGGAGTCCGTGGGGGACCGGGAGGTGTAACGCTTCACGGGGTACCTTGCTCCTCCCGTGGGCGACTGCACTGGGCGCATGAAGGTGGGTGAGGAGGACCCCAGGCTCCGGGGACTGGTGCAAGAGGACGTGTTGGCAGGAAGCACCCCTGTGCCAGGAGGTGACATGAGACTCCTGTGGCCATCCGTCCACGTGGCTTTTGGAGAGAGCTCTGGGTGCCGGCAGGTTGGAGAGGGACTGCCTGGCATTCCGGGGCTGCTGCCAGCTGCGGCGTTGAATAGTGGTACCCGGGCGTTTGCGGGTAAGGTGAAAGACCTGTGCCCGTCCGGCCTGGCTGCTCGTGGTGACTGCAGGGGGCTACTGTAGGTTGGGGAGTGGCTGCCCAGGGCCCTCGGGCTGATGCAGGAGGCGTTGAACTGTGGTGTCCCGGCGCTCGCGGGTCTGTGTCCATCTGGCCTCAAAGCTCGTGGAGACTGTGGACTCGGCGAATGGTTGTCCAGGGTTCTAGGGCCACTGCCTGGGGATGCGCTGGCAGGCGAGGCTCCAGGGCCGGCGGGGGGCGTGAATGGCCGGACACCGTCCGTCCCCAGAGCTTTGGGGGAGGAGCTTTTCCTCCTGGCCGCATTGATGATGTTCCTGGCGAGCCGGGCCTGCATCTGCCGGCTGGCCTTGGGCTCTGGCTCCTGCCGCAGCGGGGAGAGGGACCGCTCGCTCCAGGATGGCGACATGGGAGGAGGGGGGCTCCTCACACCGGCTGCTGGCCAGGCCTCCACGGGCCCTTCCTCGGGCTCTGGCGTCAGGGCTGGGCTCAACCACCCGTCCAAGGGGCTCGGGCGGGGCCCCAGGCGCGGGGTCCAGGGCAGGGAGGCAGGCAGGGACACTCTTCTTTCCTGCAGAGGGAACACAGAGGTCTGACGGTCAGGCTGCCAAGGGAGGCCTGTGGCTGGCTGGGGCAAGGAGCCAGCGAGGGACCCCATCTGCTTAATAGCTGGGAGGGCTCTGAGATCCTTTCATAGCATAGGACAAGCCAGCCTGCTTCTGTCGCTTTCTCCCTTACCCCCAAACCCTCATCCCTCTCGGCCAATGGCAGGTGCAGGCTGCTAAATGTGAAGACCTGTCAGGAAGCCCCGCCTTTAAAAGGAAGGACTTCCCAGAGGGAGGCCACAT